CCGGCCTGGCGCGGGGGCGGGGGGCGTGGCCTGCCTGTCAAGCCCCACCAGGCGGTGGACACAGCCTCAGGTCCCCTGCCCAACCCAGCGCCACACAGCCTCAGGTCCCTGCTGACTGCTCGTTAAGGCTCGTTACGGGCACTCGGCCTTCACTGTGGGCACAGCCATCTTGTGTTAAAGAATCCCTGCCTCCGCTGTGGGTGCAGCCATCTTGGCATTATGGCGTGACAGTCAATTTGCATATTCCCTCTTTATTGGAAAATAATATCTTCTAGAACATATTCTCCCCCCTCCCAAAATAATTTAATATGGTTCAGTTAATTTGCTTTTCATGAATTATGTGAATGACATGTAATTTATCCATTCTGCTGATCATGGGCATCTGGATTATATTTAGTTATCCAATTCTATTATTAACAGTGCTGTGATGAAAAATTTTAAATGTTTCCCCATATATATATATTTCCTTGCTCAAAAAAGTGACATTGGCAGGTCACAGAATAGGCAACATTAAAATTTATAGGATGATAATAATGCCAAATTGCTTTCCTAAAATGTTGTGGTAATTTACTCTTCCATCATATCTTTTTATCATATCTTTTAGAGTTTGTTTTCTACTTTTTAATCTTTAAGACTTGTTTTCTTTCTTTGTCTTATTGCATTCCCATCTGTACACTCTTACTTTTTTTGTTCTTGTTTTTTTTATTTTTATTTTCTTCACTCTTTTCTTATAAATAATTTTTTGGTAGAACTCCAATATTCGTTAAATACAACTCTCTGTCTTCTATACTATGTGCATACCCCACAATTGAACATGGAGAAGAACATGCACTAATAATGCACTGGTCACACTTCGAATCATGGGCACAAACGCTGTATTCCCTTAGTTCATCCTCCCCTCTTCCTAGGCAAACATTCTACTCTGTTCTCTCTTTCCTCAAACCCCCAACATTTTTCCTCCCTCCTCACTCTCAAATAATGACTTTGGTTTTTTTTATTGATAAAATAATTCCCACATGCTTCCATGACTACATCTACCCACCTACCAGTTTTAAATCCATAAACTCTTCCTGCTCCCTGTTGCAGTAGAATAATTCTCCTCCAAAGGCCAACCTCTCCACTAGTGCATAGATTGCCTCTTCTCTCACCCACTTAGAAATATCCATCACTCCAGAAATCTTTCCTCTCTCTCTCTTTCCTACATGATCAATTTCCCCCTCCTATTGAATAATTCCCATCAGCACACAACATAATTTCTCCAATCATTAAAAAAAAAGACCTTTTTCTCTTAAACACCCTTCCTCCTTCAAACATTGCCTTATTTCACTGCTCCGCTTTTCAGCAAAATGTTGCAAAGGCATGTGTATTCATTGTCTCAGATTCCTCCCTCTCCTCTCAGGCTCCCTTATTTATTTATTTTTTTGTTAATCCTCACCCAAGGATATTTTTCCATTTATTTTTAGAGAGAGTGGAAGGGAGGCGTAGAGACAGAGAGAAACATCAATGTGAGAGACACATACGGATTGGTTGCCTCCGCGGGCTCCCCGTAGAACCTGCAAGTGAGGTATGTACCTCTGACTGGAATCGAACCCGAGACCCTTCATTCCGAGGGCCGACATTCTAACCACCGAGTAAAACTGGCCAGGGCTTCTCTCAATCACTCTTCATCGGGCTTTCCACCTTCCTGATCACCAGGGACGATTTTTTTTGGGGGGGGGGGCGATTTTTTACTTTATGTATAACCACTCAGCATGATTCATACCCACATCAAGTGAAATGCCACGTTTACGCACCTGATTGCCATAGACATACAGTAAATGGCTTCGTGGATGGAATTTCATCCCAACAGGAGAAGAGAATGATGGAGGAAACGTGAAAGCTGGAAATTTTTCTTTTAATCTTGGTTTGTCATTTTCTAGGATGTGCACAGAGACAGAGGTCTCTTTCTAGAAATAAAGCATGAGCGATCATGAGAATTTTTCCGTTAGTAATACTAGTCTATGTTACAATTTTTAGAGTTTCCTGTTACTCAGATGTTGACTAAGGTAGGGACCCCTAACAAAGCTTAGAACTGGAAGGATTAGCAACCACTGACATCTCTTTACTCTGCCTTCCCCACTATACATCCACTTAATGGCTGTTGAACACGAAGTTTAGAAGATGAAATAATTTGTCCAAGGTTCTATATTAAATGGCAGAATGACTGAACTCAGCAGAAAGACTCCAATGCCCAGGCTCATAACTATCACTTCAAACTATGTTTTAAAAGTGTGGACCCCTGGGCCACACTCCAATTCTATTGGATCATGATCCTGGAGAGGATCAGAATATGCACCCCAACATAGGCCACTTTGTTATAAAGATGATTTTAAGTGGAAGACATCTGAGATTCAACAAATGCAGGAAAAAAGTCCTCTTATCTGACTAAAAGCAGCAACTTTGAGAAATAAGATCACCACCAATTCCTCTTCAGGGCGGATGTACTCCCAGAAGGGAGAATATGAATAAAACCTACCCCAATCCCTTGCTTCATGGAAGATTTATAAGCTGAAGAAGACAGCAAGACCACTCATCCTGATATATAAAAACCCTGGGTCCATCACATCTGCAACCAAGGGGGAGGCTCGACCAACTGGAAGTCAGTCCTGCAGTCAGGGCTGACTGCTATGGCTGCAGGCATGGTGACCCAGCACTGACTGCTGAGGGGGCTGCAAATCAGGCTCAGAGAGAGGCCCGAAGAGAGAAGCATGGTCTGATCCATAGCCCCTGTGGCAGCTGTTGATCAGCACTTGCCTCTCTCTTTAGCTCCAGGCCTGGCCAGCAGCTGCACCTCCATTTCTCTCCAGGCCTTTACTGGGGCTGCTGATCAGCCCCGCCTTTCTGATCAGGCCTCATTGACAGACCCAGAGACAGTGACTGGCATAGAAACCAACCAATCAGAACTAAATCTGGATCAACTGTGAGGAGCCAATTGCTGCCTAAGAGGTGGAGCTTTTAACGTGGACTGGCATAGAAACCAACCAATCAGAACCAAAATGGCCAGCAGAGGAGGGAAGTTGGGGGGGGACCAGGCTTGCAAGGGAGGGCAGTTGGTGGTGACCGGGCCAGTAGGGGAGGGCAGTTGGGAGCCATCAGGCCGGGTTTAAAATGGAAATAGAAAAGCTGAATCATTCTGCTTGTTTTCAGGTGCCTTCTCTTCACAGTCATTAGTTTGGTCTGAACTGCACCAGAATGGTCCTAATGGCCCCAGTCACCTGAGCCATTACAGCTTGTCTAACTTGGTTAAGTTCTTTTCTGCATGAAATTGTTCATGATTCAGCATTTCACATCAGGCAGGCAGGCAGGTGAGCGGTTAGGAGCCAGCAGTCCCAGATTGTGAGAGGGATGTCCGACTGCCAGTTTAGGTCCGATCCCTGTGGGGATATCCCACGAGGGGTCCCAGATTCAAGAAGGTGCAGGCTGTGCTGAGGGACACCTCCCCCCAGTGCATGAATTTTGTGCACTGGGCCTCTAGTACCTATATAAATACACTTTATTATCTCCTGCAAAACCATTATCTTTTCATTTGTTTTTCTGTAAGTGCCTTTATCACCCTCCTTAATTTATTAAGATGGTATATAACCTTACAATTTTAACCACCTTTTTGAGTTACTCATCACTGACTTATACCTGCCTATAGATGTGCTACACACATATTTTTCTTTTCTCCTGTTACTCTCTTTTGTCAGTTTAATTTAAAGGACCCTGCTTACTGAACCTAAGAGGGTAGGCAAAATTATTTTTTTCTTCCTAAAATCAAAGGGTAGGGCTGAACTTATATATGTCTTTTTAAAATATATTTTTATTAACTTCAGAGAGGAAGGGAGAGGGAGAGAGATAGAAACACCAGTGATGAGAGAGAATCATTGATTGGTTGCCTCCTGCATGTCTCCCACTGGGGATTGAGCCTACAACTAGGGCATGTGCCCTTGACTAGAATCAAACCCGGGACCCTTCCATCAGCAGGCCGACGCTGAGCCAAACCAGCTAAGGCTTATATATGTTTTTAATGGCTCTAATTCACAGTTGGGGTTAAGACCTTTTGGAATAGGAAATATAGATCTGTGGCAACTTAGTTCCATTATTTGTTAATCTAAACTAACCACTTTTATGAAACCTTACATTTCTATAGACCTAACTCAGTTTATATTCTTGGAGAATAAGCAAAGAAGAATCATTATGCAAATAGCATCATATTTTCCATTTTCATCAAACTGAATGCCAATCGGAGGCAAGAAACCTCTAAAGTGTCCTAATCTATAGTATCAGCCATAAATCATTTTGCTGTAGCTAATTTTATCAATTTCTACTGCCAAAGAGAACAAGACCTCAGAAATAGTTTTACTTAGTTAAATTTTCATGGTTGTAGCATCAAGAGCAATCACTTTCGGGCCATAAGGCATACCTGGTTATGTAAGAGGTACACTCCAGAATTATGATCTTGGTCAACCAGAAATGTTATTACAGTTGAAGGGGCAATTTTCATTCCTTTTGCAAACTGAGGTAAGCAAGGTAACCATTTAAGAAATGGCTCTCTCCCATAAAAACAAGAGCTTGCCTGCAAAAAGAGAAAGGACAAGTTAATGTTGTTTTTGACATATAAGTTCTAATTAGTCCTCTTAAGCAAATAAACTAATGACTGGCTACAAATAAGAGTGTTAAATCTTTCATGTCTGTGCTTCTCTTCTGGGGGATGTGAGTTCAGAAAGCACCCCTGTCTGGCACAAGTTGTTTTTCTGGAACCACTGTGCAGGTCTAGATTGAACATAACCAGGTAATCACCATTAGACCCACGGAGAGGTGCCCCTGGGAGCAAAGAGTAGTTGTTAAGCCTTTCAGGCTGTAGAACTGCTATTGTTTTAGATGAATAACAACCCATAAAAATCACGCACAATAGAACTTCTTACCTTTTAAAATATTCAATGCCATACCTCACTTAAAGTCCTGTTTCTCTCAAAGATGACAGTAATATAGTCAACTAAAAAATATAAAGGTATAGAAATTACAAGCAGTATCTATATTTCTAAATGTATCATTAAATATATGAGAATCAATTTTCTTGCACGTCTATTAGGACATATCTGTTGTTTCAGATTTAAATGAATTGCTCTCCTTAGTTTTAAGCCATGAACTTACACAAAACAAACCTATCTTTACATTTTATTCTATTTTTATTTGGTCATTTCATTTCATCTATATGTGCTATTCATATTGGGGGGGAAAAGCCTGTTAATATCTCTTTACCTAAAATTTACCTTCAAAGTATTCTCTGTTAGCAAAACATCTTTCATTATACCACAATTTTCCTCTGGCATAGTCACCCTACACAAATAAATAAAAATATCATTTAGGCATTATGTAGACTTAAAATATAAATTACAAAATCTTTAAAAAATTTAAAAGTTCAATATTTCAGGAATGTGAGGCAAATAAAGAGAGAAATATTGTAGGCAAATAAAAGTTTGTAGAATGAGGACACGAAACAAGAATAATGCTTTTGAACAACACACACACACACACACACACAGAGGAATAAAAAGAAATTTCATCTGAATTAGCATGTGTTAATGGTAGATGCGTCTGAACTAGTCTTTTGGAAGCTAGAGAAATTATTAGCCTTTCACCACAGTCACGATGGGTTACATGCTTATCTTCTATTCTTCATTAGCTGCAGCCAGGCTTAAGGACTCTCCACAGAAGCCTGACAGGGGCGAGAAGCAATAAGAAAAAAGCCACAAAAATATAAGTTTTGAAAAATTGGTCATAAGAGAGAAGCTTTCCAGAAAGTGAGATTGTATAACGTTGGATGTGAATTATGTGCAAGACTTTGAGATGGTTTTTTGTTATAGGAAGATTCTGACTTACAAATTATTGTTGAAACAAAATAGAGACCTCCCTGCATTTTTAGAGGTCAGTAATAAAATCTGTATAATAATCTGTGCATTAAAATCCTTTTAAATTGATCGTGATAATGGTTGCACAGCTCTGTGATTATACTGACGCCCACTGAAATTTACACCTTAAACGGGTGAATTTTATGCGACGTGTATTATATCTCAACACAACTGCTAAACAAACAAAATAGGCTTTTAAAACAGAATAAACAATTTATTTGAATGGTGTGGTAAGGTGTTAGCCTAAATGAAACTTTTGAGTTCTTATATAAATCTTCAGGTTTGCAGGACACTGTAGTTATCATTATAATACCTGAACAAATTATATAGAAACTTTATTGGGCCCTGACTTACTCCTTTTCTTCGTTTTCAGATTTCTTTTTATCTATCTCCTACCTGGAATCAAACAGGTAAGAGCCCAGTCAGTATCTATGGGATAATTTCATCAGATCATGTTGACTTCATTCGGAGGATGAGCTCATGACCCAGGTCTGACTCCAAGTCACAAGGATTGGTCAGGAATGAACACATGATCCAACGCAGGCTAATGAGTCTGTCCTGAAACTTGAAGGGACTACTGGGAAAGAGATCCTGTATTCCTGTTGGGACTGGTAAACTGATGGCTTGTGAACCTGGTGGCTATTCTTACTCACGTTTGGAGAAAACTTCCTGAGAATGAAGCTAATGGCTTGCAAGAATGGCTTGAGGTGAGGGGTAGGCATGACAGGAATGAAGAAGGCAGGGAAGGCCCTGACCCTGAAGGATCTTGTATGTTTCACACAAGTTAGAATTGTATCCTTGAAGAAGCGGCCTGAAGTCCCCGCTATTTCTACTAAACCAATTTCCCAACTTAGCACCTTTGTACTTACTATTACCTCTGTCTGAATGTGCTTCCTCAAGTCATGCAAGCGTCTGCTTAAATTTCACCTCCTTGGAGAGGTCTGGTATAATCACCTTATTTAAAGTAGAATACTATCTTCCCTTCACTCTCAATTTACCTGCTGTAATGACCTGTTTTCATTTCAATAAGCCCTGATTACTATCTGCAATCATTTTATGCATTTGTTTGTGTGCTTGTTTATGATCTATCTCCCTTAGTAGAATGGTAAGCTCCTTGAGAGCAGGGACTGTGTCTTATTCATTATGGAATTCTTCTTGTCTAAAAAAGTATAGGCCATAGAAAGTACTCCACAAATATTTGCAGAATGAATGAATAAGTAAATGAGTAAGTCATCAAGTAGTAACCCCCTTCCAACCTGCCCAAACAGCCCCATTCTTACCACCCTTCCTTCGGTCATTATAAAAAAAGGTCTTATCTGAAGGTAAATCCTTATTGTTTTTAAGAATAACTTCACACTTGAGCATGCCTGCATGTATGAGGAAGGATTAAGGAGGGGACATTGGCAAAAGGCTAGGAATACTCAAAATTTCTGCTGTGCTTTCCAAACGAAAGCATGCTTAGATGTTGATGGAAATGACCTTTTGAATCATGAAACTTGACCTTATAGCAGAGAGGGAAGATAACTGATGGAATAAAATCCCCACAAAAACCCAGACACAGAGGTGTGGCTAGCTTAGATGCCCTTTCGTGCAAATTAGAAGTGACTTTCTCCAGGTAGGCAAAGACCTGCATGGGGTAGATGGATGGGGCCTACAGTGTTAGCCGGATTTCAGCACCACTCTCTTTTCAACTGGGCGCCCTGTGCAGAAAACACCTGACCACCCACCACAATCCTGGTCAGCGGGGGTGGGGGCGGCCTCTGAGACAAGGCAGGCACTTTTCCCTCGGAAACAGAAGAGGAATCATTACTTGATAGTTGGTAGAAATACTATATCTATATATCTATATCTATATCTATATCTATACCTATATCTATATCTATATCTATCTATATCTATATATATATATATTTAGCTCAAATGACAAACAATATTATAGTAACAGGGATAATCTATATTGTGAATTCTTGCCTTGCACCTCATCTCTTAGGGCACCGAGGAAACATATCTTTTAACCAACCCTTGGAAATGGAAAGCTTCTTACCCTTTCAAAACCACAAAAGTCTGCCCTTGAAAACTAGAAGGAAAAGAAAAGGAACTTTAATTTTTGTTTGATAGGAAAAGGCATAACAAACCGCAGCAATGTGAATGACACTCAATGCAATGTTTCCTTTCTATCCCAGCAGTTAGGAGATTCTCATTGATTTCCTCTTCGGTCTTTGCCTTGTTTCACCATTTGATTAATTTATACCAGTGATGGCGAACCTATGACACGCGTGTCGCAAGTGACATGCGAACTCATTTTTTGGGTTGATATTTTTTTGTTAAATGGCATTTAAATATATAAAATAAATATCAAAAATAAGACTTTGTTTTACTGTGGTGGCAAATATCAAAAAATTTCTCTATGTGACACGGCACCGGAGTTAAGTTAGGGTTTTTCAAAATGCTGACATGCCAAGCTCAAAAGGTTCGCCATCACTGATTTATACCTTAACTTAATTCCAGAAAGGATTTGGGATCGAAACCCCACCTGCGGATGATTTAAATGGAGGAGTTAAGAAGTGTGTGGAAATACACGAAATCTGTCACCCACGTGGGATTAGGGAGACACACCCTAAATCTGTCATTTTTTCCATGGCCTCCTTCCGCCCAGCCCAGTGCAGCCCCTGGGTCAGGCCCTCTGTACTTTGAACCCGAATCACTGATCCTGGCATCTACAACTCTCTGCTTCAGCAACCCCATGATAAGCACGTGGAAGGCCAGATTAATTGTCTGAGCAACAAATGGTACTTTCTTAGAGAGAGTGAAGAAAGCGGGGAGGCTGTGAATATTTGTATAGCTGAAGAAAGGTAATAATTACCACGCAGAAGAAATACCTACTTCTCAACCAATACAATTGTCCTTTTCATACTTACTCTTATCTTTTCTTCTACTGTCCCTAAATCTCTTTTACTACTCTTATTTCTGTTGTGGGAATTTTTGAGAGGTACTCATTAACATGCTTAAGAATTTCATGCTATGTATATTGTATATTTTCACCAAAATATATATTCCCTTCTCTCAATCCCAAGAGTTACTTTAATTTATGTTACTTTTTAATATAATATTTAGGATTACAAATCACCCTAAAGCATTTTGGAAGCATATGTAACTATAGATAGATAGACAGACAGATAGATAGATAGAGTGTTTTCTACTTATATGTATTTAAAACTTACTATAAATTGGTATAGTAACAACACTAGCACCATTTCAAAATATTCAACACAATATTAATAATAAAGCAAAGGAAGAAGTCACTGTATTATGCTTTCACATTTTTCAAAAGGAAGAAGAGTTTCAATTGTAAGATATACCACATATAATTCAAGAATTCAGTGTTTCTACTTTATGTCATGAAAGACATTTAAGGTTAACGCTTCATTACAAAGCTGTTCACATACCTTTAGATCAGAGTGTTGTGGGTGACGAAGATCTCCACTTACAAAAAGTCCCAAAGAGGTGAGGATGACTAAGAAATGATTTGTTAAAACTATATCCACCACTGAAAGCTCTATATGTCCTAAAGGAAGAGATTATGCCATGGATTTATAAAGGGAGGAAAAGGTGAGATATTGATTAAATGTTGACATAGAGGAAATGCTGAAGACGAGGGCACTGTTAGAGGAGTTACCTTCTCCAACTTTGGAATAGATCGTCTCTGTCAGGTTATACCACTGGGTCTCATCATAAAGCCAAAATCCGGAAATGCTGAGGCCTATGTAAACACCTATCAGGAGAGGGAAGGAAGATTAAGGCAAAGCGAGTAACTCACTTCCATGGTACTAAGTCTTCAGGGGCCAGAGCCTGCTCCACCTTCCAACCCATTCTCTGCCCAGGCCTCCACTCCCCTCCCCTCAGATTGCATCTCACTCCCCCAAGCACTGGAAAGATGAAGTCACTTCGGGCTATGTCACAGGATGTTAGCCAACCATCTGGTTTAACTATTAAGTATTTTGTTTTATATGGAAGTGGGGTCAGAATATGCCCCCCCAAAACATGCCACTTTGCCCTCAGGATTATTTTGGGTTGAAGGCAACTGAAATCAATAGATGCAGGGAGAGTTCTCTATCTTCCCCTTTTCTGCCTAAAAGCAGGGCATCCATTTTCCCGTGAGAAAGGTGCCCCATTGTCCCAGAACGAGGAGAACACTCTGATCACTAGAGAGATGCGTCGACACTGAGACAGGTTTGTGTAAACAGACCTTACAGAATAACTCTTATTAGTCCCGCCGCTCACACTCTAGTCACTTCCCCCCATTTTATCATCCTTTCCTTGGTTCAAATGGTATATAAACTTCTGAGTTTAACCACGACTTTGAGTTTCATTCACTTATTTTCTGTGAACTCTCTTGAATGTAAATATTAATAACAACGACACTCCTTTTCTCCTGGTAACCTTTGAGAGTCGAATTCAGACTCCCTGGGACTGAACCTAAAAGAGTAGATGAAGAGTGTTTCCTTCCTAAAATCCTTCTGAGCATTAATATGTCCCTATACCATTAGTACAATTTCAGTAAACAATTAAAAAAAATCTCTAAAGAAAAAATTAAAATGTAAACTCCCCGAGAGGAGAAAGTATGTTTGATTTACTTTAATATTTGTGGTTTTAGAAATAGAAAAATATTTGCTAATGCCTCCTGAGAACCTGTTTTTAAAAAGACCAAACATATTGCCAATACCGAGAGCACACTGTTCCCTGCTCCCACCTTTCCTTGGCCACCGCTAGGAATGTTGCGAGCCTTTTGTTTCTTAAGCGTGGAATGTAGATTTGAAGTCTAGTCAAAAGTCATAATGATTGGGGGTTCAGGAGAGTGGAGTACAGGGGAACTGAAGACAGCTGATAATCTAATATATATACTTTGTTTTCAAAAGACGAATGTGGGACCAGCCATATTGTAAAGCATGCACTTAACTCTTGGCTCTTTTCTGGGTAGGGAAGGATGTAGACAGAAGTCTTAGTACCATCTACTTTTTCCAGGAAGAGAAAAGCTAAAGAGAAGCTTTGCCTTTCTAAACACCAAATTTAGTTCTACAGGTAACAGTACACTATATTCCAAGTGGGGGTGATGATAGGTGTCTAGCATGATATTACATGACCAGACTCCAGTGAAGTTCAGAAATAGTTCATGCTTCATTCTGGTTAATATTTTAGACTAAAATTAAGCCACAGGCTACTATCTATGGCAAACTGGCCACAACCGTATCCCAGGTTTAAAGAGGCTGAGTAGACCATTGTGAAGAGTTTGGATTTTATTCTAATGGGCAAAGGGAAGTTTCTAAGGGATGTGAGTTGACTGACACTTGAGAAGATCATCTGGTGGCTGTTTAGAGGGTGAGTATCCTGGGACAAGACTAGAAAAGGGGGAGACCACTGAAGAGGCTGTCAATTAGTCTTGTGGGAAAACAATGTTGACTTGACATAAGATTGTAGTGGAGGTGAAGAGTGGCCACCTTGGGGATAGACGCTGGGTAGAGCACCATCCTGGAATGTCAGGAGAGTCCGAGCAGTCAAGAATGTGTCCTAGATTCTACTTTTGAGTAACTGGATATTAATTAGGAAGAGGAATATTGGAGAGGAACAGATTTTAGAGGGAGATGAATCAAGAGTTCTGGATGGGGATGCTCATTAGACATCCAGAGCAACTGTAAACTCAACAATCTGGTATAGGAGTTTGGTCTCAAAGGTGTGGCCAGCACCAGAAATGCAGATGTGGGAATTGTCCACCTGAAAATGGCATTACCAGCCCCGGCACTGGGTTAGGGTTCCCAGGGAGAGAAAATGGTTACCTCAGGAAGGAAGCCAAAGACCAAGCATTTTAGGGTCACACTGAAGGGAGCCAGCCAGGAAAACTAAGAAGCGCCTAAGAGGCAAGATAAAAGCAATCGGAAGTGGTGTCAAGAAAGCCAGGAGAATAAAAAGTTTTTGAGGAGCGAGTGGTCAGTTGGGTCCAATGTTGCTGAAAGAGAACCGGCAATGTGGAGACTATGGGTGGTCTTGGGAAGAACCGGTCAGTAGAGTGGTGGGAACAGGTCTGATGTGTAGTGGAATGAAGATGCCTGGGTGGTGGACAGTGGAGCTGCCATCGGCAATAAATTCTCTCCAGAATTTTTGACTTTGAGGGAAAACAGAAAAATGGAGGATGGGCGTAAAGTGAGGTAAGTGAAGGTTTTGCTGAAAGCTGTGGGGCAGCAGACTGTGCTTGTATGCGGATGACCTGATCCCGTACATACGGAAGGAGAACACGCGTGAAAGGTGAGATTTACAAGTGAGATGCAGGAGAGCAAGACTGTTCCGATGGCTGGGCAGGGATTGGGATCCAGAACACAAGGGGTGAGGGGTGACCTTTGATAGTAGCAGAGACACTTCCCACAATGCAACAGGCAAAGAGACAAAGCAGGGGGGTACAGATACAGGCAGGATGGCAGACATGCAGGCACAAGGACGGAGTTCCTTGCGATCAGTCTTGGTTTTCTACAGGAAGTATTACAGGCGCAGCTGAGAGTGAATAGAAAAGGAAGGTGGTGTTGACGGTTTGGAGTGTGGGAAGTGGTGTGGTAAGCTCATGTTGCCAAGTTGGAAAATAAACATACCAGGGAAGAGAGAGTTTCTGGGTAGTGCCGAGTACCCACTTGAGACTTGTGATCACGAATTTTACAGTCAGGCCAGTTGGTGGAATTAAAGTGGGATTAGTGTGCACATTTTTTTTTTTCTAGCAATATTCTGCTATTCCAGGGCAGGGATAGAGGTAGTTTTTACCAGAGCTGGGTTTATGCAGGTAAGGGAGATAGAGAAGGGCGAGGAAATCACAGAAGTATTTGTAAGGATGGACTAAGCAAATGATGGTGAAAAAAGAAGGAAAAATTCTGGGTAATGAAAAAAGTGGGAGTGACGCCATGGTGAAGTCTCAATAAAATCAAAGAAAAGTTGGAGTGTGAGTACCAGAGGAGACTGAGAGAAGAGGAGGCAGTATAGAGAGTGTGAGATGCTTGAAGTGGAGATTTGGGAGTAGTAACATTAGTAGACAATGAGGTCAAGAAGTTGACCATGGAAGTAAGATGGGGGAAGATCAGTGAAGGAGAGAGGCCTTGGAACTGAGTATTGCTTGGGTCATTCATTTGTTTGGGACAATAGTGATAAAAGTAGGCAGAGAGGAAGTCAGGGGTCTAAATGAGTGAGTGTGAGTGGTGGGAAGGTCACCACAGGCTGGCAATAAGAAGTGGTAGAGGGAGGCAAGCCTGAGGTCAAAGGAACTGGGATTTCAGAGGGGAGGACAAGAGTGATTATGATTAAGAAGTAGCCCTAGGGAACAGGGATGACAACCCTGCCCTTGGGCTCTGA